GGGAAGGGAAGGGAAGGGAAGGGAAGGGAAGGGGAGGGAAGGGAAGGGAAGGGGAGGGAAGGGAAGGGAAGGGAAGGGAAGGGAAGGGAAGGGAAGGGGAGGGAAGGGAAGGGGAGGGAAGGGAAGGGAAGGGGAGGTTCCAGCTCCGGCCCTACCGAGTTGAGCTCCCTCATCTCCTCCTCCTGCTCCATCCTCATCCTCCCCGCCCGTTCCAGCAGCTCCCGCTCCCGCTCCCGCCGCTCCTCCTCCAGCTCCGGCCGCTGCTCCAGCCGCTCCTGGAGCTCGGCCTTGCGCCGCTCCGCGCTCCGGGCCCGGATCAGGGCATCCTGTGGGAACAGGGGGATTGGGGGATCCAACCAGAGTGGGATAAACTGCATAAACTGGATCAGGGAATCCTGCGGGAACGGGGGAATTGGGGGGATAAACTGGGGGACCTTGGGGGGTAAACTGGGGGAGGGAGGGGGTTAGGTTGGTGGGGCTGGGGGGGGATAAACTGGATCAGGGCCTCCTGTGGGAACAGGGAACGCTGCCAGAGCCCAGGATCCTTCCCCAGGGCTCCCAGGACACGCTCCAGGGGCCACGGAGCGGGGGCACCGCCGGCTCCTCCAGGCCTGGACGGGCAGGGACGGAGCTTCCGCAGCTCCGGGAGATCCTCCCCGGCCTGGGAATGGGATGGGGGCACTGGCAGGGGGGATTGGTGGGGACCAGGGTGGGATTGGTGGGGACCAGGGTGGGATTTCTGGATCCAACCAGAGTTGGGTTCCTGGATAAAACCAGTCTGGAGTTCCAGTATAAAACCAGTATAGGATTCCCGGGTACAACCAGAGTAGGATTGGGGGATCCAACAAGGTGGGATTTCTGGATCCAACCATAGTGGGGTTGCTGGATCCAGCCAGGGTGGGATTCTTGGATCCAACAAGGTGGGACTGCTGGATCCAGCCTTGGTGGGATTCCTTTCCCACTCCCAGCCCCGCCAATCCCATTGATCCCACCCAGCCCCTCCTGGCTCAGGGACCACCAGAGGAACCCCCTGAGCCCCCCCTGCACCCCAACCCCAGGAGGACAGAGGGGAGACCCCTGGAGTGACCCCCCTGCCCCCCCAGCCCTGGCAGGGAGCGGGAAAAGGGGGCTCAGGGGTGGGAGATGCCCACGATGGCAGCGTCCTGCTTGGCCTGCAGGGCTGTGCCCCTGTGCCCGAGCTCCTCCCGGCTCAATCCTTCGGCCTCTTCCTTCAGCAGCTCCAAATCCTTCCTGCTCAGGATCAGGGAGCCCGGGGGCTTCTCCTCGGGAATGCTGCGGGAACAGGGATGGGATCGGGGGGATCAGGGGCACTGCCAGCCCCCCGTGTGCCCCTCGGAGCCAGCGACACCCCCAACCCCTCCCCTGAGCTCGGGCTCAGGTTTAGACTCACACCAAGTCCCGGATCAGGTCCTTGCTGAAGAGCCGCGTGGTTTTGGGTTTGTACCCTCCGGCGGCGGCGGCACCGGGAGATTTTGGCCTCTCCCGCAGCATCACGGCGGGTCCCCCCGACCCCCAACGCCGCAGCAGCGAGGGGGGGCCCGAGGGGTCATCGCAACCCCCCCCTCCGAGCCCCCCAAAAAGCGTCTCGTCCACCGAGGAGCT